CTCCACAGGTCACCAATGCAGCCCCCACCTCATGGGGGAGTTACAGACTATTGCTCTCTCTCATTGTTTCCCTCACTATCACGCTCCATCTTTCTTCCTCACACAACTTTTTCCTCACCTTCTCACTTTCTCACTGTATCTTTAGTCAGTGTCCTTTCTTTATCACTTTCTCCATCACTCTGTCCATTGCCATCTCTCCCTCTGCTCATTCTATGCTCACTCCATCAGCTTGCTATATCACTCGCTCTGTTGTGCTCTCTAAAAGCAGATGCTTAGTGGGGGGGACATTGGCAGCCACTAGCAATATGACTCTCTCACTCCAGTCAGCATTGCTCTGACATGTAAGTGGCCTGTCAGTTGGGGTATTTATCTACCTGTGTAGACAAGGAGCCTGCACAGTGAGGGCTTAACATCAGATGTCTGGTGCCTGATCAGTCTTGCTCCGCAAGCCAAAAAGGTCATGGACAGAAGTCACTAGGGAGGGATCAGTAGGGAAGGATGTCCCTGCTGTAGCTGAAAATGGCCAACAGGAACAAGTCAAATCCCAGTGAAATACCACAAACTGTGCTTCAGGAGAAGATGGAAAATATCATTTTAACATTGGATCAGATAAATATGAAATTAGGTGGCCTCAGCAATGGGCTGGAGTTGAGGAAAAGGCTGGTTCCCAAGGCTGTATCCTTAAAGAAGGAATCTTATAACCTTGTAAGGAATCTTATGGCCACAATCAAAGGGACATGGTATGAGCTCTTATTCCCTTCTCATATAGTCAGATGAAACTACTCCCAAAACATCATATAAGGCCATTATACCAGTCCATGATGTTATGAACTAGGAGCACCTCTCCTGAAAACATAAAGTCTTTACTAATTGCTAATGAATGTATTATTCACAATAACTTTGAAGAGGAATCACAATTTAATATTAAAATGCATGTTTTGTCTGCAGAAAGTTGGAGATTTGAGGGGTAAAACTCTACCTGAATCAGGGAGCTGGGTGCCAGGCTTTCTACAGTGGGGTGGGAAAGCTGTCTTTATCAGTTTTATTGGCTGCTGGGAGCTGTAGTTTAGCAACATCCAGAAAGCCACATTTCCCATGCTGGTGCAGGTAATACTGGATAGATAGCCCAATTACATATCCTTTATAAGGTAGCTGATGCTGTTCCTTCTTGACGTCTTACAGAATTTTTTATGCATAAAGAACAGGCAGATCTCCTTCATCAGGGAGTTTAATATTTTTAATAGATGAGCTTATACTTGCATATGCAATCTTCTTTCTGACCCAGGACAATTATTACTTCAGCTTACATATAAATAGTATGTGCCATTTACATTAATAACTAGGGATGCTGCCATGAACTACCCACTCTAGATTTTGCCTACTAATAAAGTGTCTCACTTTTATAGGTCTACCTTGTGTAAATGGAAAAGGATGCAGCAGTAAGTGAAGAGATTTGTCTGAAATGAGATAATCACACTAGCAGAAAAAAATATAAAGCAAATGAGCTAATCTTCAAACGGGCCTGCATGTTAATGAAAGTGGTTCACAAAAAACAAAAACTTGGTTATTCCATTTAAGGGAAAGCATAACTTTACAAGATTGCCTTCATCACCCCCCCCCCTTCCACACACACACCATATATATAAATAAAAGCAGGCTTTGAAGAATAACCTTGCTGTTTGCTCCATTCTCATCTAAATTCTTTTATGACTTACATTCTATGATCCAAGCATGATTGCTTGTCATGTTAGTCAGAGTTGACTTCAGTCTGAAATCATGAGCTTAGTAACTCCTTTAAACAGCTTGGAAGAAGGTTGAACCATTGTAACAGCATACAATCCTTCTTCAATTCTTAGAAAATGGTTATTCTAATTAGTTCAGCCAAGCCATCTTAAGATCCACATATAATTTGGCAACTAAACTTTGTCCTGATTATCTGAAGAAAGATAGCTTCAGTCTCAGACATGTTTCCCATGTCTATACTGCAACATGAAATGCACACATCATTCTATGGCTATCTGTGAGACCTATAGCTGTCCCTAACATGCTAATGATCCTCTAGTAGAATAAGTAACAACTATTCTGATTTTTAATATAGAATTCCCTGAAAGTGATTGTCCAATTAAAGTCTCCATAGATGACAATTTTCTTTTTAAAATTAAAGCATTTTTTTTGGCTTTAAATACTATCTCAATGTATGATGTAGTGCTTCTAATGGGATGATGAATTTCAACTGGTAGAAGGCCCTTCTTCTTGCTTCAAGCCCAGTTTTTAGCCCAATTCTGAGAAAATTAATAATTTTTTAATCCAAGTTGGAAAAATAACCCTTATCACAGAAACACATAATTTGAATATTATATTTAAATAGTTAAACTGAAAGCTAGGGCCAGATTATAGAAAGGAACTGGAAATAGGCTTTTTTTTTTTTTTCTCATGCTGAATTTATACACACTTCTCTTATCTTGCTATCAAGTGCCCAATATAAAGACCTGGTCAATCTCTTTACAGATATCGCAGATGTAAGAAACAATGCTTCTTTAAATCACTGTCAGCTCAGTGGAAATTAACCATCACCACTGACTGACATTATTCTGCATTTGATTTTAGCTTTTTCCAAACTGCAGCTGCCCAGATGTGTTGCATTTCTCAGCCAGCACTGTCAAAATGTAGAGTGGTTAATTGACAAACTTATGTTAGGGAAATTTTGTTTCAACTCTTATTTTGTCATGAAGCCCACTAATGCCAGACACAGCTGAACCTGTCTCACAGAGTTATTGTAAGAGTAAAACTGGTTGGCGAGGTCATCACAGTTCCTTGGGAAAAGGGGTTATACATGAGCTGTTTATTAGTACATTGCTTAATTGCCATAAAACATCAACTTCAATCGCTAACCTTGGAAACAGCTTAGAAAAACAAAAAATCTGAAAGACTTCTGTGTTCCTATCATTGCTTGCAACTTAACAATAGCAGCAGAACAATTATTTTCTGCCACACACTCTTTCGAGAAGCAAGCTACTTAAAACAAGCATCAATGTACTATTTGTATTTCGCAAGCCGAGGGCCTTCTCTGGGCGTTAAGTTATTCCTTCGCCTTCGGATCTGGACTGTGCACGCGTGTCTTCCACAAAGATGGGTGTGGTTACTTCGTGTACTTCTAGGCGCATTCGGGGAAGATATAAATATAGATGCGCGCGCGTGCACACACATTCTTCCCGGTATAAGATCACCATAATACCCTATAGTTTCCCCTCCCAAGAGCTACCTTAATAGGATACTTAAAAGGACAAGAGATAGCGGAGACACCTAGATGAACACGGTTTTTAAACGAACAGAAGGAAACAATGCTCTGGTGATCTTGCGACAAGGTTGCAGACGTGATCCCCAAACTAAGCAGCCGCCCCTCTCTTTCCTCCTCCCACCTTCGTCTTCCAGCTTTATGTCTTCCAGACAGAGGCGCATTGAACTTTCCACGCCGGGATCAAGCGCTTTCCAACACCTCATCTTCGCCTCGCATTCCTTTCTCCAGCAAAACCCCGCTCACCAGATGCTCGCAGGGCGAGGGAAGAGGAACGGCGACGCGGGGCTGAGCGGCCGTCCTTCCTCCTCTGCAGCTGCTTTGACTCCCGCTTAGCAGCAGCGCGTTTAGCAAAGCCGGCGCTTAAGCGCAGCGTCCAGCGCCAGCCTGGGCACAGGCCGCTCGCTTCTTCACCCCGGGAGGCACTCGGCAACCTCGCTCGCTACGGCCCACCTTCTGCTCTCTGCCATTGGGCGGCAGCGAAACTTGCGTGGTTGCGGTTGGCTAGGAGAGACGTCGCTCCGCGCAGGGAGGGGAAAGAACCCGATAGGCACTTGGACACCGCTGGGCTGGAGACCAAAGTCTTTCTCCTTGCTTGAGCGCCTTCGGATGGGCTGCTGGTATTTCGTTTCAGGGCAGCAGCTGAGGGAGGCGGCGGCGGCAAAGCGGTGGGTCCCGCGGAAGGCTCGGCGGAGGCGGCGGCGGCAGCAGCAGCAGCAGCTGGAGGAGGAGAGGCGAGTGGGAGCCGGCGAGGGAAAGGGCGACGCGAGGGGGTGCGAGAACTTTGTTTAGAGGGCGAGGCTGCTGGCTCCCGGAGGAGACGCGCCGAGGGGCTGCTGGAGACTGAGGTTCGACGGCGCCTCGCCCAGGTCTCTTGGGAGTGGGTCGCCTGCGTAGCGCTCGCTCTCCGGGAGGAGGCGACAACAGCAATCGCAGCTCCCGAGAGCTCCTCGTGCGCCGCCGGACGCGCCGGAGACTAGCCGAGCGCGAGCCGGGCTCCATCCCTTCTCCCCGCGCGAGGCGGGCGATGCTTCGAGGGACCGCTGGACGGGGCCACTGACTTAATCGAGGCTTCGGAGAAGAGCAGCCGCGGGGCGGAGGGAGAGGAGGCGAACGCGCCGCCGCTTGCTGCTCTCTCTTCCCCGACCCTTGCTGCTGGAGATGATGCCCGCCCCAGGATTACTTTGAAGTGTTACCTTCAGCCCTTCTTTTCTGTGGAGGTGAGCTGGGGGACCTGCCCCATCAACTCCGAGGACCGGCAGGCTCTGGCGTGGGACGCGTTGCCTAGTGCCGCGCCTAACCCCGTCGGTCCCCCATTCTCTGTGGGAAGACAATAGTCCTGCAATCCCAACTCCGGAGTCTTCTCTCGCGGTGTAGAAAGAAAAACCCGTGTGGATAATGTCAGCCTCAAGCAGATTCAAAAAGGACAAAGAGATCGTAGCCGAGTACGAAAGTCAAGTGAAAGGTAAAAAGGCTGGGGCGGGGCGGGATGCCTGTAGTTTATTTCCCTGTCTCCCCCCGTCGCTACCATCACCTGTTTGGTTGTGCCTCCCTGCCCGCTTCGTGCCGAGGACAGAGTACAAATCCGTCCTTCCGGATTAATCAGCCTGAAAAAGATAGCTCCGGTACGGTCTGTGTACACAAATACTAGCCTGGATTATAATCTTGGCACTCTTGAGATAAATTGCATTGATTGAAAACGTGGACAGAAAATCTACGTTCGTATCACTCAAGCTGTTGATGGATCGTGGTAGGACGAATTGCTGTTGATGTGGGCAACTGTGTCATGGGGTTCAATTAAACCATTTTAGGTGATAAGTGCTCCAACTTCCAGGAGAGACTCATCCCGGAGTCATCCAGTTCATCAGTCAGTCTCAGAGGAAAAGGGGTGGGTGGGACACTGGCAAATGACCCTTTATAGATTTACCAGCCAACTTTACAACTGTTCCTGAGCAGGAAGGCTGGAAGAGAGGTCTAATTTTTTTGATAGTTCTTTATGCACTTATAACAACATGATCACAGTTGCTGTGCTTAATTTCCCTTTCTTTGAGCTATGTGCATGAACTTGTCTACTTGCCCCTATTTTTATTAAATTCTGTTGGATATTGATTTGGTGAAGGGAAGGTTGTAACTGGTTCACATCTCCCATATATATTCAATGAATGTTTGAGAGTATTCACTTTTCATTCAATCCATCAGGGCTGTTCAAAGTTCTTCTAAAATCAAGCCTGTTAGAGTCAAAGAGAAGCACTGTACTTTGTCTATTTCATGTGTTTTTCTTCAGTTATTACTTTTTTTTCCATATCCTGAAGATGTGTTATAAAAATTATATTTGAAGAACTCTACTTTTCATTCTATTTTCTGGGTAGCAGCTGTTCTTCCATACACTGTGGCAGTTTCAAGTAAAAGTCTATTGAAAATAATCAAAATCTTCCATCTTCTTATATGGAGTTCACGGAATGGGAAAAATAGAAACACATGCAGTAATCACTTTTTAAAATAAAATATGTATGACTTGGTTTACTCACAAAATATATTTAATATATACAGTTGGAAAAGTCATTCATTTACAAATGGAACTACAAGCTGTGGAACTCTAAGGACCTTATCTCCAGTTTTGTTTGTTTAGAAATAAAAAAGTTAACGTTAAAAACCAAATAAACTATCAGTATTGTAGTAAACACATTGTGTTTTCTGCACTTTGTCCTCTACTGTATCAAATGGCTACAGAAAGCTCATTTTCAGAAAAAAGGTAGAAAAAGTGGTGGTGATGAGAAGTTCAGACTACGTGAGTTGTCACATGAACTCTTGTTTAACTGGTTTTATTTCTCAACCTGTAATATTATTAGCAATTTCTGTTGCTTTTGAATGTAGCTGTTATTAAGTAAGCTTTTCTACCCTTTCATATATTAGTTTAGTTCTTAATTTGGTATATTTTTGACTACTTTGTATTGCATTCAGTTCATAGCAAGACATACTTCATAAACCCTTTTTCCCCCCTTTCTGGCTTTCATGTCTCTGTTAAAGGATCCAAGATGGTGGGCATTTTGAATTTCTATAACACAGTTAATCCAAAATCTTAATATATAGTATGTTGGTAGAGAATTACAATGGTGCAGTAGAGGCTCCTGTTATCCAAGGTTTTTAATTCAAATTGGGATCACAATAACATGTTTTATTAAGAACTTTGCTCTGTTCTTTCAGTCTATGCCATCTCATTCTGTTCACTCCGCCTCTTTTCCGCTATAATTCCCTCACTAATACAGACTTCTAATTCAAAACATAAATCACGTATGACACACATATCCTCTTTTTATAACGTTAACAAACCTGCAAGATTCCATTAAAAACTTGTGATGAAATACAGAGAACTCCCTAGCAGCCTTTTATGTATTCTTTTAAACTCCTGCTTTCTTTGTAATAATATCACTGAATGATTTGTCTTCCTTTGTCTTCCTTTGTTAAGATTTGTTTTTTAATTTATTTTATTCAGTAAAACTAAAACAAAATCCTTTTTAGATGGATTGTTTGCTTGATTAGTCTCAGGCGATTATAACATGTTTCCTTTCTAATTTAACTGAATTTCCTGAAATGTCACTGAATTATCTTAGCCTCAAATACTGGGACACCCCTTTTTTCATTTTACAGAGCTGCTTGCCCTCCACCAAATCTTTTGTTGGAAGATATGTTCTTTGGCACCCTTTTAAAGAACATAGTGGTTGCTTCTCTGCTGTTTCCTCTGGACACAGTTAGAAATGCCTACTTTGACAGGATGAGTTGTAGAAAACCTTGTAAGTTGTTGCTAATGAGTCAGTTTTATGGAGGCTTTATATCTTTTCATCAGTTCAAATGGTGATCTTTCTGTAGTAGAATGAGGAGTAGTTTAATAGGCAATAGAGTTTCATGAATTAGTGTTGGAACAAGGCTAATCATAAACTATTACATTTCTCTTCATTCTTTCTACCAATCCTTTGAATGATATAAAGAAATAGTTTTGTGTTTTACCTCATTATGACAGAAGAATTTTTCCATTTCAAATGAAGTAAGCTGTATCTTATCAGTTGGTATTTTATTAGGAAAATCCTCTCTTCGAAAAAAAAAAAAAGCAAGCATGAAATGAACTGAATTGCTTTGTTTATAGGCCATTTGGAATAATACTCTACCCTTATTTGTTTGTCTAAAGTCCATTAGGCCTAAAGCAAGATTCTCCTGTGTACCATTACAATATTCTACTGGTTTTAATGGGATATCAAATGTTTCTGAGATCACCTCTTGAGGTGTAGGTCAGATAGTTCTTAATTGCTTCCTTAATGTGCTTGTCCATTTCTGGTCATCAGTAGTTTTTCTGGCTCACTGTTTAGTCAAATTAACTACTCTTGCTTGTAAAGAGGCTGGTAGTATTAAGTGATATTTCTGTAGCACCCAGTCATTACAATTGGACAGTTGATGTAACTGTATCATATATGTTCACAATTACTATATAGCATAAAAATCTTTTGAGATATTGTCCAATATCAACAAATATGTGATCACTCTTCAAGAGTGCTATCTGTTCTGAAGGCAAGATGAATTACTGCTTCATCCATATCTTCCATAACGTTTGTAGAAACAGATTGTCAGATATTGCAATTATCAGAAAGGTATTAAGGTTGGAAATCAAAGTTCATTCATTTGCTAATCCATCTGGCTATCTTTGGAATTGTACAATTCAATCCCTGTATTTTGAATAATTTATTATTTACACAGTTTTTATCCTGCCCATTTGCAAGATTCTGGGTGACTGACAAAATTTGTAAAACCATGATATAATAACAGCCAATAGAAACCACTAGAAGTTACTCATTATAAATAACATTAAAAAGGAATTAAAAGTAAAATTAACTAGATGATCTCGGAGGAACCTTCCGTCCCTTATGTACTGTAATTCTAAACTAAAACAAAAAAGCACAGAACACAAATAGCCAATAGCCCAGTATGATGGTGCTTGAGCCTCAAACACATGGTGGAAGAACACCTGTCTTCATCACGTTTTCTAACTATTAAGAGCTTTGGAGGCAACTGGGCTTTGTGGAACAATCTGTTTTGCAATGGAAAAGGCCTGCTTCTAGATCATCAGTCTCCTCACATTCCAAGTCAGGAAATCTGAATCTTCCCTTCCCAGATCAGACACACAGGATAGGGCAGATTCTATTCAGAGAAGGTGATCTTGCAGATAACTTGGATCCAAACCATGAAAAGCTTTATAGGTCATAACTATCACTTTGAATTGTTCTGGAAACATATTGGGAATCAATGCAGCTCCCACAATACAGGTGTTGGTATGAGCAAAGCATCCTTTAGCCACAGTCTCGACCTGCTGATCAAACAGAAGGAGAATCCTAGAGAACTCCCAAGTTGTGGACCTGCTTCTTTGTGGGGAATGTGATCCCATCCATAACTATTATTGAAGTCAACAATAAACCAGTTGGTTTCTGGACAAACAACAACTTCATTTTATTAGATTCAGTTTAGCTTGTTTCATCCCATCTAGTTCCTCAGAACTTCCAGACATGGTAGAAAGGTATCCAGGGTATCTCTTGCTTGACTATAGACCTAGAGCTTCACCTGCATACTGATAATACCTCACCCTAAACTGACAGATGATATTTTCCAGTAGTTTCACTTAGATGTTGAACAACATGGGGAGAAAGCCAAGATCTGGAGCACCTCATAAGTAGTGGCCAAGGTTGCTCAGGTGTTCATTCCCTATCATTGGAACTACTCACTAAGGAAGGAGTAGAGCCACTGTAAAGTTGTAGCCCCAATACTCAAACACTTGCAGACAGTCCAGAGAGATAGTGTGTTTGGTGGTATCACTGCTAAGAGAACTAGTAGACCCATGATGGCTGCAGTTCCTTCATCCAGGTCATCCATAAAAGCAACCATTTCAGTTTCTATCCACACCCAGGCCTGAAATCTGACTGAGAGGGAGCAAAATAATTTGCTTCATCCAGAATTTTGTGCAAGTGGTATCACATTGTCTTCTCCAAAATCTTTCCTAGAAAGGAAAGGTTGGTGATTGGGCTGAAGTTTGCCAACATGGCTGAATCAAAGAATGGCATCTTTATGAATGTATGAGTCACTGCTTTTCAGGGCAGTAGGTATTAGCTCCTCCTTTAACAAAGCATTAACCACCTCTTGAAACTTCAAATGCAGGTACTTAAATCCAGTCACCTGTGGAGCGGGGTATCTGATAACCACCAGGTCTGTTGTATGATATTCATAATCCTGCCTTCCCAGCCTCCAAATTATAGCTGCTGGTGCACCTATCACTCTGTTGGGAGATTTCAAATAGGACTTATCTGCCATGCTCTGCCAATTAGGACATGGTTATACATGCCAGCTCTATTTATCTCTCTCAAGCAGGGTTGACAAGGAGTAAGATCTTATTACACAAGGAGCTGGCATTCACTAACAGCAGCCTGA